TTCAGCTATACTGTTCAGCATAAGTATATAATCACTGTGATGTCTTCAGATCCTGAGAACTTACCCCATTACAACTGAAGGTTCGTATCCTTTGGCCATCTTCTCATTTCTCCCAACCCCAACCCCTGGCATTCCCTACTCCCTGACAACCTTTTTATCTCTGCTTCTGTATGTTTGACTTTTTTAGATTCCACGTGTAAGTGAGGTCATACAGTATTTGATTTTCTGTGCCTCGTTATTTTATTTACCATAATGTCCTCCAGGTTCATCTTTCTTGGAAATGGCAAGAGTGGTCTTTTTGACAGAATAGTATTCCACTGTATATAAAGATTGAGTAGTATTTTTTATTTAAAATACATAGGACCAAAATTGTTTGGGGTTTTTTCAGATTTTGGAATATTTGCAGAGACAGGAGTGTCTTGGGGATGGAACCCACGTCTAAATACAGAATTCATATATGATTCATATATATGACATATACATAGCCTGAAGGTAATTTATAGTGTGATTGCTTTGTGTGCACATGTATGTTTTGGAAATTGAACCCAGGGCCTCATATGTGCTGAGACGTGGTCTGCTGCTGAGCTACAGTGTCAGCTGTACCTACCTGTTCTGTTTTGCAGTGCTAAGGACTGAACCCAGAGGCTTGTAAGTGGTAGGTGAGCACTCTACCAACTGAGCTGTAATCCCAGCCCTGGACTGTGTCTGCCTTTTTGAGGGGCGGATGTGGTAGTGGTACTGGGAATCGAACCCAGGAGCACTGTAGCACTGAGCTGCATCTCCAACATTCATTTATTAATTGATTGATTAATTGATTGGTACTGGAAGGGGTCCCTTTGTATTTTCTATTTTGAGATGAAGTCTCCCTAAGATGCTTAGGCTGGACTTTTTTGTTTTTTATTTCGAGACAAAATCTCACTAATTTTCCTGGTGGGACTCATATGTGCAGTCCTCCTGCACCTGCATTTTGATGACAACGTGTGTCATAGGTCAGGTGTGGAATTTTGTGCTTGAGGTGTCATGTTGGTACTCAAAAATGTTTAGGTTTTGAAGAATTTCAAAGTCCAGAGTGTTGGACTGGGAAAGCGAAACCTGTGTATGCCACACTTCATTTATCTATACATCTGCCTATCATCAAATACTTCGGTTGGTTCAGTATCTTGGCTGTTGTGAATAGTGCAGCAAGGAACCTGGAGGTACAGATACCTATTCAAGGTGCTGATTTTTCTTTCTTTGGGTACATACTCTGAGGAGTGAGATTCTTGAGTTAATTTTTATTGTGTTTTCTATCTTGGCTGTACCAATTTACATTTCTGTCAACGCTTATTACCTCTTGTTTTGGTTTTGTTTTTTTGAGATAGGATCTTACCATGTAGTTCAGGCTAGCCTTGAACTCTTTATGTTGCCCAAGCTGGCCTCAAATTCACATTGATCCTCCTGCCTTGGCCTCCCAAGTGCTGGGACTGTAGACATGTGCCATCACACATGGCTTGTTTTTTTTTGAAACAGATGCTTTTTTTCTTTTTTTTTTTTTTTGTACCGGGGATCGAACTCACGACCTTGTGCTTGCTAGGCAGGCATTTATGCTACTGAGCTATATCCCCCAAGCCCAGATTCTTGATTTTTAGTTCAGGTTGTCCTTGAGCTGACTGTGTAGCCCAAGAGGGCCTCAAATTTGTGGGAATCCTTCTGTCTCAGCC